ACCAACAGCAAATATGGCGGACTCGTGATGTGAGTCCACGTAAAAAAATAATAAAAACCGATATACATATATATATATAACGTCATCCACAGACAGACTGTTTCGCTGTTTACAGCTCATCAGTGTGGCTAGACATCCGGTTGCCTCTAGCTAGGATCGAAACCCGGCTGAATTGGTGTCAGTTGGAGCTTCTAACCACTAAGCCGTCGGCGCACGGTAGGGATGAAGGTGGATTTTTAGCATATTTATTTTTAGAAACATGCCCAGTGACTGACAGTGACTCAATTCGAGTCTCGCTATATAGCTATAATAGTCACTGTTTACGAACCCACACCTCCCCCCCAGAGTGCTCAACTGAAATTAATTCAGGAGCAAATATATATATATATATATATGTATAAACAAATGATAAGGGTTATTTTCTACGCGTAGCTTAGATGTGGCACAAGGTCGAAATTATGTGACACTTAGTGAGGTTCGAACTCACTTTTCAGTCGTAACTTACCTAGCGAGACAAACTTGTTAACCATTACACCACGCCGAGGTGCCCTACAAACAACTGATAATGTATATAACAAAGTTATACAAGCGACAAAGACAATAATGTGTGTAACAAATGATTGTGAAAACTTTTTGGGTGCAAAGTATGTGTAGTGTGTGAATGTACGTACATACGTGTGTGTGTTTGTTCATGCGTTTCCCAAAGTGAGCGCGTTCTCCGCGAGAGGTTGACGGATAAAATCAGAAGAAAATGATAAAAAAAATGATCACAGACTATTTATAGTTCTGAGAGCATCGCCTAAAAGCAGTTTCGAAAATTAAGAGGAGGTAACCAGACAGATATGATAAAGGAGTTACTAAAAAAAAAAAGAGAGAAACAGAGAGGGGGGGAGGGAGGATAGGGCGAGAGAGAGAGAGAGAAAAAATAAGAAAGAAACAGAGAGAGGGAGAGAGAAGAAAAGGAACAGAGAGGAGGCAAAGTAGAATAAAACAAGGAGAGAGAGAGAGAGTAAGAGAAACAAAGAGAGAGTAAGAGAGAAGTGAAACAAATATAGAGAAAAAAGAGAAGAGACAAAGAGAGAAGGGATAGAGAAACAATAATAGAGAGAAAGGGAATGAGAAACGCTCATTAAACTGAGAGAAAACAATTTAAATTGCTTGGCGTGGCACGCGTGCCGTTGGTTGCCGACCCCTGATCTAGGGAGTCTGTTCCATGGAGTAGTGGTTCTTTTTTCCTTTGACGTTTTATCTCTCCTCGTTCTCTTTTTTTATTTCTCTTCTTCGGCATGTTTTCTCTATCTGTTTCTTTTTCTCTTTGACACCCTCCTCCTCCTCCTATTTCTTTTACTTTTACTCATTTTTTCCCCTTTACCACTGTATTTCTCTTTCTTTCACTTCTCTGTCGACTTTGTGTTGTTCTTTCTCTTTCTTTCACCTTTGCTCCTTCTCTCACTGTTTAATGAGTGTTTCTCATTCCCTTTCTCTCTATGTCGATGTCATTTGCGGCAGAGAAGTGAAAGAAAGAGAAATACAGTGGTAAAGAGGAAAAATGAGTAAAAGTAAAAGAAATAGGAGGAGGAGTAGGAGTAGGAGGGTGTCAAAGAGAAAAAGAAACAGATAGAGAAAAGATGCCGAAGAAGAGAAATAAAAAAAAAGAGAACGAGGAGAGATAAAACGTCAAAGGAAAAGAGAACCACTGCTCCATGGAACAGACTCCCTAGATCAGGGATCGGCAACCAACGGCACGCGTGCCACGCCAAGTAATTTCCGATGGCACGCAGCCGCAAATGACATCACGAAGTCCGAACCAATAACTACTACAACGCAAATAATATATTTAACTGTTTCAAATTTAATATATACTAAAGTATATATACAGTGTAACCCATATATAAGAGAGTTGTCGGAACCGGAGAAGAAGTCTCTTATATCCGGGTTTCTCTTATATCCGGGTTTGGTCTATTTTGTTTAGGTAAGTATGGCTCTAATTTGGGACCAGAGAAAATCTCTCTTATATCCGGGTTACACTACTATATATTACTATATAAAATATATTGTAGAACAGGTATATTGACCTTGTATAGAAATACTTATGCTGTTGGCACACTGAATGATTTTAAAACCCTAAGTCGGCACATAGCAAAAGGTTGCCGACAAAAGGTCTAGATGATGTTTTAGTTTTCCCGATTACTATAATCTTTTTAGCCTGTTCAAGTCTCGAGTCATTATCTTTCTCTCCTTACCTATATAAACTACCCCTTATCGTAACCTACTACCTTGAGTAAAAGAAATAGGAGGAGGAGGGTGTCAAAGAGAAAAAAACAACAGAGAAAAGATACCGAAGAAGAGAAATAAAAAAATAAAAAATGAGAACGAGGAGAGAAAACGTCAAAAGGAAAAGAGAATCACTGCCTCATGGAACCCCCTGCTTTATATCATTTTTATTATCCAAGATCATTCAGTTAGTTAAGTGTCATACGTGATACACGTTTCGGCAATCATGTATCAAAAAAGAAATAAGAGGAGGGTGTCAGAGAGAGAGAGAGAGAGAGAGACAGACAGACAGACAGACAGACAGACAGATACAGTGTAGCGATTTGAACGGCCTCAATTCAGTCCGTAGATTTTTTACTTTACAAATGTGTCAGCAAACAAGAAAAACAACACGAACACTATTTTTATAATAATCATCTTTATTTTACTGCATGACATACAAGACAATCAAGTGTGTGACTTTTATATAATAAGAGTTGTAATTAATAGCAGGAGTTATTTACCTTTAACTGGAAATTCTTAAAGGCTTTTAATTTTAAGAGAAAATATTTTTATCTGAACTCACAGAAAAGATTTCAGTTCATGAAATAATAGTAAGTTTCAGTGGAAAGAATGTTATTCGATAAGAATGTATTGTAGGCTGAAATTCAGTGTAAGACGAGTTCAAGGAAACTTGTTGATTGAGAGAGAATGTAATCTTCACTTGAACATCGAAAATTTGTATTTGGTACTAAAAATGTAGTTTTTAGTTTTTAAAATTCTGAATAAAATTTAGCGTGAATAAGTTGAAATAACTTGCCGCTTAAATTGTTCACCAAAGAGAGATGAATACGAACGAGAGAATTACGGAAAGTTGAGATTATTTTGATAAGAACTTTTAGCTCCAGAAGGTTTTGAGGTAATATTTCTCGCTGGGGAAAAACTGGTAAGAGTTGAAAACTTAAATTGTTAACTGGCGTGGGGGCAACGTATACTGTTGACTTTTAAAGGGTCTCACTGGTGAGAGGCGAAAGTTGTATTCTCTTGGACGGCATGTTTGTTGCTGAAGAAAATTTCACTGTTAGAAGTTGATAAATTTCTATTTTTGTAGTTGAAGGAGTGAATCAGATTAGTTAAGAGATGTGCAATGTTCGTAAATGTGCGTACGTTTGTGCGTGTGTGTATGTCTTCATGGCGTTTTCCTTAAAGAGACAAACACAATTTCTCCACAGAGATTACATCTTGTATGTGAGAGAGAAGGAGAGAGAGAGAGAGAGAGAGAGAGAGAGAGAGAGAGTTGAAAATATGTTAAGTAATGTCATATGATAGGCTCGAAACACATAGACAGATTTTTGGCGATAAATTAATTTTAACCGTGCGGACGTAGTGGAAAACATGATATTTAGCATTAATTGACCAATCAGGAGTCAGAGAAATATCAAGGCTCTGTGATTCACTTTCTGCAGTCAAAAGCAAGTGGTAGCAGAATGCTAAAAGAGAAAAGATACCGAAAAAGAGAGAGAAAAAAGAGAGATGAAGAGAGATAAAACGTCAAAGGAAACGAGAACCACTGCCCCATGGAACAGACTCCCTAGATCAGGAGGTCGGCAAACTACGGCACGCGTACCACAGGTGGCACGCCAAGCAATGAGAAACAGAGAGAGAGAGAGAGAGAGAGAAATAAGAAAAGGAACAGAGAGAGGGAGAGAAAGAATAAAAGAAACAGAGAGGAGGCATAGAATGAAAACAAGGAGAGAGAGAGGAGTGTTTGTAATGAGAGAGCAAGCTTGTGAATCTCTTTGTAGTGTTGACCATCTCAGGGATGTAATATTCAAATCTTAGATAATATATTGAACGCTTGTATATCAGTTATGTAACAAATATATTTTTGATACTCTTTATCAGGAGTTGGCCACATACGGCAAGCAATTTCTAATGGCACGCAGCCTCAGATGACATCTCGAAGTCCGAACCAGTAACTAGAAGATATTTAATTTAGCTGTTTCAATTTTAACATAAAGTATATATATACTATTACTTATATAAAGTATATTGCAGTAAAGGTATATTGACCTTGACTTGTATAAAAATACGTTTGCTGTTGACACACTGAACTGAATGATTTTAAAAACCCTCTAAATCGGTACATATTCGGCAAAAGGTTGTCGGCTCCTGCATTATAGCATTGAGATTTCAAAGTCTTATATTTAGCTGTTTCAATTTTAATAAACTAAAGTGTATACTATTACTATATTTTACTCTAAAATATATTGTAGAACAGGTATATTGACTTTGACTTGTATAAAAATACGTATGCTGTTGGCACACTGAATGTTAAAAAAAACCCTTTGGCATAGTCAGCAAAAGGTTGCCGACCCCTGTCCTAGATGATGTTTCCCCAATTACTAATCTTCTTAAAACCTGTTCAAGACTAAAATCAATCGTTATCTTCCCCCTTTTTACCTATATAAACTACCCCTTATTGCAACCCTCTACCTCGAGCGACCCCTGGGCTTTGTAGGGTGAACCTTACTGTTAAAAAAAAAAAAAAAGAAAACGAGAGAGAGAAAAAATGAGAGAGAAAACAAAAAAAAAAAAAAGGAAAGAGAGTGTTGGAAATACAGTGAGAGAGAAAGGAGGGGATAAAAAGGAATACATAGAGAGTAAGTTTGACTGTTTAAATAAATAAGAGAGAGGGGGTACAGAGACAACGGCTTTTTTTTTATGTTCAACAAACGAAATTAACAATGGCGACGACAGGTTCTGAAAGTTACAAATATCTTTTGAATCGCATCGAATCATGTGTAGACGAAAACCTCGCTGGTCAAGTGTGTCTTCACCCAGGCCAACGGCTTCTGACCACAGATTCTCGAGTTGTTATTAGAGCTGATATCGAACAAGTGATCGAGCAAGGGAAAGTTTCTCTTCTGTGTGGGGGTGGAGCCGGGCACGAACCTGCTCACGCAGGTAAGATACGTCGTCCACATAAATAAATTTTATTTTTAAGTAAATAAATTCAAAATACCGAAACAAAACAGTTATTTATTTTTTTAAAATAAAATCGTTCACAAATTAAAAAATAAGTACACAGAAACGTACATTTTTTTTTACCTTGTTTAACTTTGATTAACAAGTTTTTAACTTTGATAAAAATTAAAAATTATTTAATTTTGGAGGTTGACTTTTTTTTTTTTAGTAAATGAGAAAATACCTAAAAAAAAAAAGTATTAGTTTCTGAACAATTTGTTTTAAAACTTTTTTTTTTTTTTTTTAAAGAACAATTAAAAAAATTCAACAAACACTTCTTGTACTGTACACAAGCAAAAAAGTTAAATTATTATTTTTTAAATTCTACTAATAGATATTTTTAATTAAGTCCGAAAAAAGGTGAATTATTTATAAAATTTATTTATTTTTGGATCAGTTCTGTACGAAGATATTGTGTAAAAAATGAAAAATCTGTCATGAAGTGGCTCTTTTTTTCTTTCTTTCTTTTTTTTTTTTTTTTGAGTCTTTTTTTACTTAAGAAAAAAATAGTTCGGGTGAAAATAAAACATATCGTATTTTTTTTTTTTTAAAATAAAAGAAACAAAAAGCATTGTAATATAAAACTAGAGAGAGAAAAAAGAAAACAAAGTAAAAAAAACCCAAAAAAAACATGTTTTCAAATTCGAAACCAGGTAAACATTTTTTATTGAAATGGAATCCACGAACTTTTCATTGATTCAAAAAATAATAATTTTCTTGACTGCAAAAATTCGATCTTATTTTGATTTAATTATTAATATTTATTAATTTTTAATGTTAAAACTCATTAATTCAATGAATGCCCCCGCCGGCTTTTTTCTTTTACTTTTTTTTTTTTAAGACAAAAATTCAAGAGGTAGATTAATTAATTTTTATCCATGCGGTAAATTACAATTTATAACTGAAATTCTTTGCAATTTATTTATTTATATATGAACTTAGACAATCATAATCTTGTTTTTAGCAATTTTTTTTTTTTTTTTTTTTTCATAATAAAATCCAGTTCCCCAGAGATGTGGAATAATAATTTTCATTTTTTTTTTTTTTTTGAATTTCTGTTTGAGAAGAAAAAATCTTTGTTTTTTTTTTTACATTTTTAACTAGATTAATTTTAGGTTTAAAAACAATTGAATGAATGCCAGTCGACATAATTTTGTGAATGTTTTTTATTTTTTTAAAAATAAAACTCCAGAAATATCGGACGAACTAAAGTATCTTGTTTTTATTTCCTTATAAATAAAAAACAAAGTTATTTTTTTTTAAATATGTGTAATTAGTAATTTGTAAGCTCACTTTTCAATAACTTTTTAGTTTTTTAAGCGTTGAATAAAAAGTATTGTTATTGTTCAATAAGGACCAATAATTAAAATGTATTTTTAGTTTTTAACAGACGTAAAGAAAAAATGCTTTTTTTAAAATTCTTTGCTAACCAATCCAGACGAGACTAAGTGATAAACATTTTTAGCAATATATTCTTCTTTTTAAAAAAAGCAATTATTAGAATTGGAATAAAATCTAAACATATGGTGAAAGTGAATTTACCTTTTCTTTATAACAAAAATAATAAAAGCTATTTATTTAGATTGTTTATTTATACTATTATATTGTTTATTGAAATGGTTGGCAAAACATCGTCTAATAATTGTCAATAGATTCGAACTTTATAAAATGGTAAAAAAAGGATTTGCTTATTTTAAAAATTTAGTAAATGTTTATAAATTTATGAATAAAATTGTTTTTGCTTTGCTTTATAAATTGGTAAATAATAAATATTGCATTGCATTAGTTCTAATTATATTTAGTTTTTGTTTTTAGAATGTTGTAAATTAAAATTATTCTTGTAAAAACAATCTAATAAATAAATAGTGTTTGTAGTGGACCATGGCTGTGATGTTGTTGAGTAGAAGTAGAAGAAACACATGTGGGTTCAGATTTTCCTGCTAGCCGGTCCAACTACATGAGAAAGTTGGACTTTTCATTAAGTCCAAAGAAGAAGGCAAAGAAAAACAAACAAAAGACCGATAAATACATGTATATAAATATATATATTAATAACAAGTTACATGGAAACAGTTACAAAGGACAAAGTGTGTGTGTGAATATTATATATGTGTGTGTGTGTATTGTGCTTAGCGTGTTCCCAGCATTTGGGAAACACTATCTCTGTGAGCGTTCACATCTTCGAGGTGATAAGGCTGAAAGCCTGAGGTAAAAGAGAGATTTACCTCCAGGTGACGGCCCAAAGGCCTGAGGAAAAAAGAGGAAGAGGCGAAGGGTCAGCGACTATTTATAGCCAGGGAAGAGAGACCCCTGGTAAAAGGGTTAACGAACTAAAGGAGGAGTTAACTCCGACATGTTTAATATTTTTCTTGTAAATTCTCACAAAAAAAAAAAAAAATGTATAAATTTACTTTCATCATATGTTTAGGTTTTATTACAATTCTAATCGTTGCTTCTTAAAATCAATAAACATTTCCAAGGAGTGAAGGTAGTTAAAATAATAGCAGTATCATGGGAAAAAGTGTCCTTTTGCCACTACGTCTTATAGTGGGTACATTTATCCATGTTTATCATTACATCTTTAAAAGATAAATTATATCATCAATCATCAGTCTTTAACTTTCTTTGATCCATAGCCCAAGTTAACCAAGTTTGTTTTAAAAATAACCCCTAAATTACTTAGCAGTGAAATTCAAAATTTTAGTAGCAGGCTTTCAAAAAAAATCCCAATTCACAACTTGTAAACTTTCTGGCGACAGATTATACTGGGTTATATGATAGCAGCAGCAGATTAATCTCTGCCATGATTGTTGGCAAAAGTCACAAGAGGAATGTTATAATTTATGCAATGTTAGTGTAGGAAAGAGTTGTAACTTTAGCTTGTAAGTAGTGGGGGTATCATAGATTAAATATTATTTACATTAAAATAATTTTTATCTTAATAAATTAAGTTATATTTACTTTAAAGTATTAAAATACAATGTCAATCATTATCAACCTTCATTCCTGTTCATTTGTTGTTCTTGCTTCTTAATAATGTTTTTCTTTTATCATATTCTTTCATATTCACCTATTGCATCTTAGTAGCTTTATTGCCTTACTTGGAGGTGAAATGATTTTAAAAAATGAGTAATATTCTAATTTTTAAGGAATACACTAAAAGTAATGCCCCTATTCATTTCCATGGAAACTATAACAGATGTAGAAAGCACAATAGTACTACTGGATTGAGGAAGTTTTCAACTGTAAGTAAATACTTTCTGTACCTGTGCAACTCACATTACTGCAGAATTTCAGTCATTGTGTGTTTTCAGGGGCCAATGCATCCCCACAAATGGTTCAGGCTTGCTGGGAGATGAGTAATTTTATTGTCAAAATCTCTGGTTGCCAAGCAAAGCTATAGAACCTAGTCTTGCTAAATAGCAAGACTAGGTTCTATAGCTTTGCTATACCCCCATAGCTGGGGGTAGAAGTGCATTAATACCTTTCCCAAGGCTATTTGTGCATAAGTGAGTGTAACAAACTCAGTTGGAATTCAAATTTGACTATAGAGCATTGTTTTTTCGTGTTATCACTACCATTGATGTCATTAATTTTCAAGGTGCTCTTCGTTTTCTTAGTTGACAATTATGCGAGGCCACTCAAAATGTAATTTGTCATACGCATCATTGTCATCACTGCTTAAACATATTTTAAACTGACTAGCTGTGCTCACATCCAGTTTTTGGTCTTTGTAAATGTTCTGCAAACATTGATCGATGTGAATGGGTACAAATGTTTTCCACATGGAGGAATTCAGTTATATCTTTGCTTTATCTGCACTTTTATGTCAGATTCTATTTTGTCAGACTTCCACTCATTTGCCAGCTGCAACAAGGCCCAAAAAAAACAAAACTAATTATAATTATATACTACCCTAACAACAATGAATGTAATGACAATAGTATTTGCATAAACAGCAAAATTAAATATCTGTCTATATCTCAGGGATGAGGTATTATGATTACTTGCATTATTTACATTATTTGGACTGTTATCCTCATCGTCATTGCTAGAGTGCTAGAGAAAAGCAATGAATAACAAGAAAATTGCAATATAAGCTCTGGTAAAAAATGAAGTAATAATAACAAAAAATTGCAATATGAGCACTGGTAAAAAATGAAGTAATAATAACAAAAAATTGCAATATGAGCACTGGTAAAAAATGAAGTAATAATAACAAAAAATTGCAATATGAGAACTGGTAAAAAATGAAGTAATAATAACAAAAAATTGCAATATGAGCACTGGTAAAAATGGTTGCTGAGACATTAGGTTTATAAGTCCCCGAAATTCATATACAGAGGTCATCGAGGACATCATGGCTCATCATTTCAACTAAATACATTCTTATTGTTCAAAGTAGAGTTCAATAGTGTTATAAAAACCTTGAAGAATTCCATTAAGATATCTTTAGTTATCTCTAAAATCTTCAAAGCTTAGTCGAAAAATCAGACAATCTTGCTTTACACGATTTGAACAACTTTGCTGTTACACCTGGTATATACAAGTGTCTCCACATGGGACACTTGTATATACCATATATCACATATACCTACACAGCAAAGCAGTGTGTAAGGAAAAACCAAAAGGGTCTTATGTATAATATGGAGATACTCCTGTATCTGGAGAAGCCATGTTTAGAACTCCAGATTCAAATAGGCTGGAGTCATCTATGTCCCAGGTGAGGACATATTCAATGAATGGGAAATGGCAGTAAAAACATGAAATTTTATTTTTCAAAATCAAGACTCGTTGTATTCACTTCCACACAAATGCCACTAAGAATGACATGAATTCATCACTTCTTCTCTCAACTATAAGTTAAATAGCAGAGTAGATTGGCCTTACATAGTAGCTAGTTTGGGAGATGGACAACTTTGAATTCAAAACCTTTAAGAAGACAACAGGAAACCACTTTCTTAAGAAGTCATTACAATTCACAGATAATAAAAGGAATCTGTGGAGAGCCATGATCACTTATGTCCTGAAGGGACACATCACAGAGAAGGTAATAGAAAACCCCTACATTACCTTTCTGAAGAAATGGCAATTCACAAATCATAAGGAAAAGGCATCTGTGGAGAGCCATGATCACCCATATTCTGCTAGAACAAAGCTTTGAAAAAAAAAAAGTCGTTTGTAAAATATTTCTCTTTTGAATTAAAGCATTGTTATTAGCTGAGCAGAAACCCTTTTTCTTTTCATTTTCCATTATTGTTTGATCCACAAAACATAATTGTCGATATTAATTTACAGATATGAATTCCCATAATATTGTTGCTAAAAAAAAAAAATCGTCTTGGGTATTATGATAAACTACATCTGACAGCAAGAGTCCTGATCAGGAGGTTTAGAGGAGTGTAGAAACACCTCTTAATTGCTGGTGTTTCTGGGTCAACCTTGACCAGGGTTGTGGTAGCACCTGTTAGGACCCCAGCTATGGGCAAATAATCAGTCCCCACTCCCAAAAGGTGTCAAAACACTGAATGTATAAAAAGAGGTTTTAATAACAGCAATACTTTTTGGGAAAACTTTTTACTAGCAATAATTTTTTGAAAAAAAAATATTACCTGCAATACATTTAAAAAAAAAAAATATTACCAACAATATATTTTTCAAAAAAAAATATTACTAGCAATAAAAATCTTGTCGGCTTTAAATAACCCATTGAGGTTGATATGCCATAAAACCAACCAAACCAAACATTATAATATCTCTGTAGGGGAAATGAAATAACGTCCCAAGTAAAAAAAAAAGATTAAAAGACAAAATGACAGACAGATGCAATGAGTTTACAGATGTCTTGTACGTAAAATATCCAGAAAGGAAAATGACTGCCCCCCTCCTCCTGAATCAAAATATTTAAAGACAATAAGATATACAAAGGAGACTCTATATAATGTGAAACTAAATTACCAGCAATTAATTTTTCAAAAAAAATATTACCAGCATTAAAAATCTTGTTGGCATTAAATAATCCATTGAGGTTGATATGTTGTAGAACAAAACAAACCAAACCCAAAAAAAAAAAAAAAAAAAAAAAAGCTGAAAATTTGACAAAATCAGTGACGGCAGAAAAAAGAACAGCAGCATCAAAAATGCAACTGAAAACCATAAAAAAAAATAAAAATTTAAAACTGCTTCCCAGTAACTTCAGCACTTCTTCCCTCTTATATGTATCAGTCTATCATTAGTCTGAAGAAGTCCTTTTAGGGATGAAACACATTTTTCTTTTGTCAGTTTTTTTTTTTTTTTTTACAGCTTATCAACTTTTGTAAGCTATTTAAAGCCAGAAAATATTTTTAGATTATAAGATTCTTTTTTTTTTTTTTTTTTTTTTTGCAATAATAATGATTTACTTATTAACCCATAGCTGAGGGGAGAACAGGTGTATTCATAAATTTCACAAGGATATTTGTGTTTGAGTGAATATAACAAAACTGACCGGAGATGGGCTCTCTGATTTCCAATTCCGACTTGTTATCCATTACACTACCCACACATGCAATCTTACAGCACCTGATATTCCCAAGTAGTCACTTATCTAGGTTCTGACCATGCTCAGTGTTGCTTAACTTCAGTGATAGTATGAGAATTGGTGTTTCAAAGTGATATGGCTGTAAGATTTTTTTGTCTGTTTTTCATTCAATTTCCTGTTACAAATTTTTTTTACATGCTAAACTTGGAGTGGGGTAAAAAAGATATATTTTTTTCTCTTAAAAACTTTGTTTTTTTCATATCAGGTTACGTTGGCCAAGGGATGTTGAGTGCTTCAGTGTCAGGTTCGATTTTCACTTCTCCTCCTTCAGCCAATATCTTTGCTGCCATCAAGGCTATTAGTCGACCAAATTCTGCAGGTTAGTCTTTCAATACCATTTGTCTTTGTTATTTTGCACAAATCTATTTGTTACAATATTTGGTAAATTTACAGTATAAGTACCAAAAACCCCTGGGGTTGAGAATGTACCATTCTGATGTGAAATTTCCTGGTTATTTCGAAAATGACATTCAAACGTTGCACTCGATTGCTGTTTTTGATTTATCGTCAATGTAAATTTGATCTCTTTTGTGTTGTCCAGCTGCCATTATTGGTGTTGGTTACATAATATGCGGAAGCTTATTTAGTTAACAGCCTTTTCGTATCTTACTGGTCTTGATTACTGCGCGATTTTCAAGGATGTTATTTTAAAATGTGCTTATTTTTTAAAATTAAGTTTTAAATGAATAATATTTTTTCTTTATTGTCCTTAATAAATCTGCTTATAGCTAATGAAATAGAATCTCACCCTAAAATGTAATTTATGAAGCTTTAAATTCAAGAAACTTTCATGACATAAAAAAAAAAGACATTGTTAAAAAAAATAAAAACTCCTTTTTTCACTTTTCAGGCAGGTAATTTTTATTTTATTTTAATTTTCGGATTTTACATGTTTTTGTGCATTATTTCATACATTCATTTAAAAATTTGTGCATTGCGTAGTAATCAAGATAAGTCAAGTTTCTGTGTAACATGACTACTCGAGGCAAACATATGTAAACAAAACTAGTAATGACAGACGTTCTGTGTATGTAATGAGAAAGAAGTCGAACTTACATTGTTCATAACTTCTAAACAGTAATCGACCACAATGTTTTAATGTCATTTACAAAATAACCAGGCAATTTCACACCAGAATCATACGTTCTCAATATTGGGGGCTTTTTGTGCTTAGACAGCAAATTAACCCAATATTTTGTTGTTCCCATTTGCTTTCATGCTTCTTATTTTAATATAAGCCTTATTATCATCTTAATTTATTATTTTTTTATACCCAGTTCAAGGCTTGCAAAACCATTATATAAGGTGAAACATTACTGCTAAAATGTTTTCAATCAAATATATTACCTCCAACTCTGACTTCTTTTATATAATTAAGTGATTATATATATAAATCTCCATAAAACCTATGCATATGCTCCTAAAAAAGGCCTATATCATTATAACTAGTTTATATCAAAGAATAGAGATAATTGTCCTACTTTTATAGAGCCTAAAACTTTAGCAGTTGGCTAGCAAAGGAATCATTTACATAGCTAACACCACTCAGCTCACCGTCTTCAGGAAACTGGTAAATTCTCTCTTCATAACCAGAAATTCCGGGGCAGAGTCACATTGGTTCTGTTTTGGTAGGGCAGCCATGTGCTGTCTTTTTGCAGAGACAGCACACTAAACATTGTCTTGGTGGGGGAGGGGCGTCATGTTATCATTAGCAATTGACTGCTCTGTCTGCATTTTGTTTCCACTAGGGTCTAAAGGTAAATATTTTCATGTTAGTTGTTCTGATGAACTTTTCTCTTTGATGTCTAAACTTTACAAATTTAAGCTCAGTAACCTTTGTGAAAGATATGAAACCATATCTTCTCCCCCATCATCTATGGGGTGAATAGCAGGACAGAGTGGGTCCTATAGCCTTTTGTTAATCAGTTAAAAAGAACCAAAAGTATGGAAACCTACTGTGGGGAAAATATTCTGCTTAGAATCAGTCATGATTCAAAAGAGACAAGAAGTGTGTATCATGTATGGCACTTAACTGACTAGAATTGGTAGCTAGGTTTCAACATTTTACAGTTGAAATGACTAGATGTAAGTTCTATGCTAATACTTTCTTCGATTACACTTCTTGCTTATGGAACTCTCTTCAAGATTCTTGCTTTCCTGTCAACTACAATCTAAAAAAGTTTAAATTTTCCCAGAAAATGAGCCTAACATTTGACAAGTGTTTATTTATAGCAACCCTCTTGAGACAACTGAACACACCTACAGCATGCAAAGGGAGAGAATTCTACAGTGACAATTTTGGCCTGCGGTGTGCTAAAGTTTAAGGAGCCTAAAACTTTTGTGGTTGTCTAGCAAAGGAATAATTTGCATTGCTAACACCGCTCAGCTCACTGTTCTGACTATCCCATGAGGAAACTGGTAAATACTTTCTTTCTTCATAACCAGTTATTCTGGGGTTCAGACCAGCTCTGTTTGGGCAGGGCATCCATGTACTGTTTTTCTGCAGAGACAGCATACTAAATCTCATCTCTTTGACTGACGGGAATGGGTATGTTATTATTGGATGGTCAATCTACATTTTGGTTCCACTACAGTAATGTTTAAATAGTCGGACATTTTCCAGATGGACCTTACACATACACACAGAGAAAAAGAATTTGAAAAGTACAAAATGTGTTCTCATTGTAAAAGACACAACTTACCATGTTTAGATATTATTCATCTCTTCTGTTTTATTTTCATGCAATTTCTAGTCATTGATCCAGTTTTTCTTGTTTCCATTCAGGATTTTCTCTTGGGTACCTTTCAGATTGATATAGATGTTTTGGAAAAGTGATTCCTGTAGAAAACAGAGGATATTTTTAAAAAGTAGATGCTGGAATATGTGTGTCAGGTACCAATATATTGAAGAGGACTTGGGTGCCAATGTCCTCTGTAGAATATTTTTTTTCTTTAATTGAAGGGATTTTCTTCTTATTGGCTGGGTATCTGCCAACAAAGAAAGACAAAAAACTCAGCAGCACTGGAATCAAACACTGGGTCATGACGAGCGGGACACGGACAAGACTTCTATATAGAAGCACCACATGTATGGGACAAACGCAGCTGAGACACCAGAAACACAAACATAGAAAATGAATCTGAAACAACGCTGGGTAACACAAACCTAAATTCTTGGTAACACTCAGCAATCCTGTTGTGCAGTCAATGGGAGTTACTAGTTTAAGAAAGAACTTCCCCCCAAATTGTCCTTCTTTTATAGAGCCTAAGACTTTGGCACTTGACTAGCAAAGGAATCATTTGCATAGCTAATACTGCTCAGCTCACCATCCTGACTATCTCATGAGGAAACTAGTAAACATTTTCTTCATAACCAGACCTTCTGGGGGTCACACCAGCTCTGTTCTGGCAGGACAGCCATGTACTGTCTTTTTGCAGAGACAGCACACTAAACATCTCTTTGACTGCTTTTACCATTATCAGTAACAATTGGCTGCTCTGCATTTTGTTTCTGCTATATTCACCCAATATAAGTACCAAAAGCCACTCAAGGTAGATCATTACTGAAAGAAGTTGTATGAGTGGTAAGAGTAGGAGGTAAAAGTACCATTTAGGGAGGATATGTGGAAAAGATAATGGTAAGCCTGAGATTTGAAAGAGCCTAAGATTGTTGTGATTTGGAAGAATCCTCTTTGAGTCTATTCTCCAAACTAACGGGCATCCTGGGTATCGGTAAACTACATCCACATCCTGGGTATGACGATAAACTACATCCGTGTCCTGAGTAAGACGATAAGCTACGTCCAACAGCAAGGTCTCTGATAATGTGTTTTTGAAAAAATAATGTTGCCAGTTGTATGTTTTTGAAAAAAATAATATTACCAGCTATGCGTTTTTCAAAAAAATCATGTTACCAGTTATACGTTTTTGAAAAAATAATATTGCCAGCTATACATTTTTGAGAAAAAATATTACCAGCTATGTGTTTTTGAGAAAAAAAGTATTGACAGAAATGGATTTTTGACAAAACAAAAATATTACCAGGGGAAAAAAAAAAAATAAAGAAAAAAAGTTGTCGGCATTAAATGACCCATTGAGGTTGATGTGCTGTGAAACAAAACAAACCGAACCAAACCAAACCAAACTAACGGTTCTTGAGAAGAAGTTGTGGATCTTCCTATTTATGAAATACAAAGGGAGTCAAGATGGTTTGTCTCCATGTATGGCCGGTCTCAATGGTGGGGTTCAGATGTGAAAGTAAGAATTGATATAACTAAGGATTGTAGCTTGTCGGAACATTTTCAATGGAAATAAAACCAGAGTGCCAAGAGGCTAGCAATGTTTCATCTTGTAAAAGACAAAACTCCAATAGAGTGGATAACAATTCATCACCCACAAGGTCGCAAAGACCCTTTCAAGACAATTTAATCCTTCTGCTGAACTTCTAACTCAAAATTTACAAATAATTGGTGTGTTATGTTTTGCAGTAGATATAAAAATAGTTACAAGTGTTTACTCATTGTTCAATCAGTGGCTGGGCATTAAGTCATTTTTCTCTACTTTTTTCGTGTTGATAGTTGTAAAAAGGAAAAAAATGATTTAAAACAACACAGAGCTAAATCACAAACAAAATATTTAATTTACTAAAACACAACATAAAATATATAACAGGATAAACAATTGTGAAACACAAACACAAAACAGAAAAACAGAAATGGGTCATTTAATGCCGACAACTTTTTTTTCTTTATTTTTTTTTTTGCCTGGTAATATTTTTGTTTTGTCAAAAATCGATTTCTGTCAATACTTTTTTTCTCAAAAACACATAGCTGGTAATATTTTTTCTCAAAAATGTATAGCTGGCAATATTATGTTTCCAAAAATGTATAACTGGTGATATGATTTTTTTGAAAAACGCATAGCTGGTAATATTATTTTTTTCAAAAACATACAACTGGCAACATTATTTTTTCAAAAACATATTATCAGAGACCTTGCTATTGGACGTAGCTTATCGTCTTACTCAGGACACGGATGTAGTTTATCGTCAAAGCCAGGACGCAGATGTAGTTTATCGTCATACCCAGGATGCCCGTTAGTTTGGAGAATAGACTCCAAAGAGGATTCTTCCAAATCACAACAATCTTAGGCTCTTCAAATCTCAGAGTTACTCGCAAAGTGTTACAAGGGAGGAGCAAGGTGAGTCAAATATCTTTATCACTTTAGGGCGAGTGAAGTAATCTAAGTGCTATATTTGGAAATCCACAAAGGTGTGTAAATAAATATTAATTTTTAGTTTGGTCAATGAAAATTAGTCAA